CCGGGCTTCGTCCTGCCGCAGGGTTTGCTTTTCTGAACTGACAAAGCAGAGATGCTAATACCAGCGTCTGGTTTGGGCGTGTTGAGCTTTTCCCAGGGGTGTCTGTGTGCAGGTTCACGTTCACAGCAGCTTTGCACTTCGGTGGCAGCAGCCTGTTCCAGTTAGCGGCGTTGCTTTAGCCATTAGCTTTAGCCAAGGATTCAGCAGCAGCATCAGTAATTTTTGTGTGCAAGGTTCAAATATCTGACTCGGAAGACCCTGAAGCTATGTGGGCTATTTGAATCTGTCACTACTTGGGGTTTTTTTTCTTACTTTGATATTACGGAGTTTTTGGTTTTTTTTTAGTTGCAAAGATCTTTGAGCTGAAACTTTGGATTATTTTGGTCTTACTCTTAATTTTTTATCTCTAACGGTGTCTTTTGAGTGTTTTTTAATGTAAAAAATAAATATCTGACTGAATCAAACTTTGTTTGATCTTCCATTTTATAATTATTAAGTCCACTTTTAAATTTGTAAACCACTTTTCAGTGTACTCAAGTATTCGAGATGTTTGATTCTGCAGATAGGAGCTTGTACATTTAATGTAAATGAAATGACACCATGAGCTACTGAGCCCTTCTCACCCTCCGCACGCAGGGTGGTTTGTGGGCAGACAGAAGTGTTCATTTTCTTTTTCCAAACAAGGTGTTTGTGACCAGCTGTAAACTGGAAGAGCCTAGAGCTGAGGCTGGTGTGGGGCTGAATCAGAGCAAGCAGGCTGCGGTGTGCAGCAGGGGGGTGTCTGTATTAATTTGCACTCCTTATTTTGCTAATGAGACCATGCCATTTCAGGTTTGGAACAGGCTTATCTGCCTGCTCAGCACTAGCAGAGGGAGTGTCTACGTGTGAGAGACCAGAAATACCTCTAATCTCATTCTGTTACTTTGTGAGTCCCATTCTCTGACAAAGCTCCATCAAAAAAAAGCAGCTGTTGCCTGTCCCTGTTCTGCTGCAAGAGGATGACAGACTAAAGGTAGCTCAAATTCTTTAGGGACAAAATATACTTCTATCTGCATAGCTGAAACAGATGAGTTCTTTCATTTGAAGTTTTTCACAGTGTGTTTCCCCTGTGTGGAAAAGTTCAGCCAGAACTTCAAAGGTTTGGCAAAGTTACAAGCAGGGAAGGTCTTTGAGTGCAACCAGTGTTAGGCAACCGTAAGGGGTGGTGTTTGCAGGTTCACTTATCGCCAGTTACCCTGTCCTGGGGTCGTCTGCCTTTCTTTTCCTCCTGAAATAAGATTATCAGGTTTTTTTTTGATTGTACAATATTAGTACACCTTACTAATTTACAGTTCTATTTACAATGATTCCAAGATTTGGAAAGAAGCGTTTCAAAATAAGCATGTGCTGTTATTTCTTGTTATGGGAGGAGGGCAACCAGTAATTATGCCTTCTGTTGAGCTTATCTAGAAGAGAGAGAAATCTCTCATATCGAGAAGGTATTTTTTTCTCTTATAATTTCTTTCAAGTTTTCTGTCTTTATAGGGGTGTTGCAGTGTGCAATGCAGCTATTCCTGTGTGCATCAGTTCCTTGCATTTCAAAGCAAACTTCAGGGAAAAGATAATGCTTTAATGTGAATGAGGAAACACACAAGAGATGAAAGAAAATAACTTGTGTCTAAGCATATCCTCCAGACTCCCTTCCCTTCCCCGTTTTTTCCTCTTATTAGAGATAAAGTGGGTTTACTGGTTTAGTTTTTCTCTGGGATGATGGTGACCCTCAGACTCCCTCAATCTCATCTCACAAACTGAGTGCAGGGCCAGGAGGTGTCTTACCAGATATGCTTACTCCCCCAGGTGTCCAGAAGTGGTCCTCAAAGTCTTGGATTTTTTACTTCAGGTTTGTTTTGTGATGGAGACCGTGTTGAAGTCTTGCTGTGATGAACAGCACCCTCATCAGGGTGAAGACTTCCATGGGAAGCATGAGCAAAACAGCAAGCTTTCAGGTATGTGCTAAAATAGGGGTTGCTAACATTATGTTTTGTTGCTGACATGCTTCTTCATTGCTTCAGGAAGTTTCAGCATCAATTATAAGCCTGTCTGTATATGGTCCTATTGTATAAAGAATTAATGAAATTAAAACATTTGAGGTTGCTTTTGATTTTAAACTTATTCCTGCTTTCCGTGTGTTACAAAACTTCAGCAGCAGTAGTTTGTTACAATTCGCTAACCCTACTATTTATTTATTACAGAATATGTTATTATAAGAGGATACCAGAATTCCAGAAAGGCAGTCCTTGAGAATAAAATTCTCTGACCAGACAAGTACACAAAAAATAATACTTGAGCTTTTAACCTATAATCGCTAGCCTTATCCTAAAATGTCTTTAGAAGTCTCTATGTGCATAAAAATGCTGGTTTTGCTCTTACCAGAGAAGATCCAGGCCCCCAGAAGCAAACAGATGATGTTTAGACGGCAGTCTGCTAACAAGGACAGTCACTGACTGTTTCTAGCACTTTTTGGGATCTTTCACACAAGCAGCAGTGTTGAGTTACTAAATGCTCTCAGTGCCTTGGGTAGGCACTATGCTGGATCTGTAGCTTGTGTCACCCGGCTGTAGTTCTTCGGCAGCGCTGAGCTTTGTCCGGGCAGGAACTTGAATTCAGTGTCAGACAAAACTGAGTATTTGGCAGATTTTACAGCAATTACTGAGAGACCTTTTCATCATTATTAGTATCTACCTTAGGACTGTTAGACTGGGGGCACAAAGCAACCCAAAACCTGATATGGTAAGGAAAGTAGAAATCTGCCAGTTTCCAAAGACGTTAAAAGATGTGCCCTCTGAGTCTTTCTTAGGACCCTTGGTTTTTGCCGGAGTTAAGTTCTTTTCTCCTAACGAAGCAACTTCACTGGAGAAATTCCAGTGCAAATTTGATGTTGTAAGTTACTGGCGGTATATTTTTGTTTCAGTAAAAACTGAAACTGAAGCAACTCATCAGAAGTCAGACTAAAATGCAAAGGTTGGAACAAAACTGTCAGTTGCTTTATTTGGAGCAGGTTAGATAGCAAGCTAGTTATAAACAATGTTCTACAAGAGCCTGTTAGTACTATATCACTGTTGAAAACAGTTTTCTAGCTCTGTCCTGTGGCTACTGAGCTCTTGGGATGAGGTTTGTGTAGGATGTTTCAGAACCCAGTAACAGGATTATCTTCCTCTGAGGGGAAAGGCCTGTGTCTTTGAGTGATGCAATAACAGTTTGGTGTTAAGTTCTTTATCGTTCTGTTATGTGGTTTCATCTCTCAACATCTTTGAGTTATTCCTGGGGGAAATGGAACACGGTACAAATATCAGCCTTTCCTCTTCCTGTATTTTCTGAAGAGTTCAGAAAGCTTTCTTCAATATCTTACATTCATTATATAATACATGAGCGTTTCTGTAAAAAGTTGAAATTATTGTGCAAACTAACTGGAAATACCACTTTTTAAATGATAAAGCTTTTTATCAATAATTATTTTTTAGTGACAAAACAAGAATTAGAGCAGTAATAGATAAACTTCATAATGAACTTCTGAGCACAGGGGCAATATGAATGCTATCAATTAGATGTTATATAGTAACTTCTTGTATTTTTAGTGTTAAACAGAAAATTTTCTTCTATTGACAGGAAATTTAAGTGATTTCTCAAACTCTTAATCTTGTACTTTTCAAGGTGTTTAACTTAACCTGTCTCAGTAAAATTGGGAAGTAACCCGAATAACTGTACAGCTGACTAGTTTTCCTTAGACTTTTCCTTTGGGGATTATTAAACACAGTGTCCTGTACGTCTTGACTGTCGGTCAAGTCTGATCATTTTTATCCTAGGATATTTTTGAAGTTTTTTAGATACGATTCCTAGGAGAACTGGATTATAACCTTTTACTTGTATTTGTTAATCAAAACAGTATCTTAAATGAATGTTATCAGTTTTGGAACCTAGCATAGAGGGTTTTTTTCCTGAAATATCCTCCCTGAAATGACTTAAAACAAAATAACCTGGAGAAGCAGAGGGAACAACGTAAAGGAAAAATGTGAGTAAAAGGATAATAAGAGAGGCAACAGGCTTCAGTTCTCAAAAGTATTTTTAGTATGTTGGTTTTTATAAATTTTTGAAATAAAGATTACCATCGAAAGTTTACTATAACTTGAATTACCAACTAATTTATTGGACTTTTACCAGGAAGAAAGGGTTCTTTAGGCAGACTTCAGATTTTGTTGCTGTGTAAAGTGAGCTAACATAGAAGGCTGGGGATGCATGCTAATCCATAGTTTCTAGCATATCAGTGATATTTTGAAAATATTTCTCATTACTTGTGACATATTGTCATGGTAAAACATAGCACATTTTTGTGTATACAATACAATTTATATATTTATGTTAAATTTAATTTCATATTTATTTTTAGGATGAAAAATGTATACATTTGGTTGACTTTCAAATACTGGTTTGTGCTTACTTCTGTATAATAAAATATTCTTCACCCCTGCTTTACAGAAATTAGCCACAGCCTCTATATACTTCATGGCTTCAAAATAAGTGAATGCTTATGCAGGGTATAGAGAACACTTAAACTAAAAGGATTCGTAGACTGAATGGAAAACTACATTATTTTTTGAAATAATACAGTACAGCATCCTTCTTATGCCATCTAGTGATTGCAGCACAAAGTGCAGCGACTTAAATGCAGAGAAAACATGGTTTTCGGTGTTTACTATTTTAAGTAACAGTGTGAGGGATTGCATTATTATCTTTAAAAAAAAAAATTTCTTGCATTTTTGATTTACATCCCATGCATGTGCTCCTGTGCTTACAGAAACAACTATTATAGTTTTGTCATTTATGAAATTGATTTTGCAAATCTCATGAAAACTTGTATCAATGACTTGTAAACTGATGTCTTACTAACCAGAAGGCTTTTGCCCTCTCAGGAACTGCTAGGTGGCAGATAAGTGGGGAAAAAAAAAATTTAAACGCTGCTGCTTGTAAGGGAATGTGATGAAAAACAACAATAATATAAAGTATGCATATGGTAATGTCAAGAGGGATAGATGTGTATCTGCTGTTTTTTCCTCTATGTGAATTCACAGTCCTATGAACTGAAGTCTGATTTGTGATCTCAAATAGAGATTGGATATTGACTCAAGCAATAAAATTCCTAACTTACTTTCCCTGGTCTTTCCACAGCAGGAATAAAAAAAGATATTGAAAAACTTTATGAAGCAGTGCCACAGCTTGTAAATGTGTTCAAAATTAAGGAAAAAATTGGAGAAGGTAAATGTTTTATTTTAGCTTGGTTAGACTTGGATTTCTTTTGGTATTTCTAACTTAAAAGGTATAAATCTAAGATCCCAATACATGTGATGAAGCCCTATGACTTTTTTATTTACTTCTTGGTCTCTGTAGGAATTCTGATATGTTGCTGAGCACAGAGGTGTGTTACTTAGGGACATTTTGCAAGATATTTTCTTGAAAATCTGGTATATTAAATCCTTTCAAAAAAACCAGCATTCCAGTTTTGAGAACTAAAGATTTTTGAGGTAGATTTGAGTAAATAAGTCTTAACACTCCAGTCTTTTTTCTCTTTTACATGAGAAATCTATTTATATGCAATGGTGTTTTGACATATTTAACTGCTGTTCCTTAAGTTGGCTTTGTTTCCATTGAAACTCTGTGTGCAGAACTGGAAGAGGAAACTGAAAGATTATAGCTGCTTTATTTAAAAAAACTTTTTTAAAGACATAAGGTATTGAATTTTAGACCACTTGTGTACACCTTGCCTTCAACAGATACTATTGCAGGTACTTTCAGTAAACGTTAGGCGTGACTATAAATAGATTCTTGGGTACTTACGATTGTGGGATTTCAGCACTTTGGGACTTTACCCATTTGACCTCTGAAAGGCTTTGTGACACTAAACAAATATGTTGGTGAGAAGTTGAATTGTTTTATGGATGTTTTATGATGGAATATCTGTGATGGCAGGATACATGGCTAAAAGTTTTTGTCTCAAAAAAAAAAACCAAACCCAAAAAAACTGCACCACCATGCACCAGAGCATACAAAATTTCAAAAACAAAAAAAAAAGGGGGTTCTGCCTATCTGCCTATCATAAAAAAGGATAGTATAGTTAAACAAAATCTCTGGTTATGAATAGTACTCTGATTTTGCTCTTGGGAGCAAACAGTGATTTTAAAAAATACCACTTGCAGTTCTGTATCATTATGAGAAAACAAGCTTCAATTTAGGATTTAACTCTGGAGCCACTTTTCATTTTAGCAGTTCACACCACCAAAAATAATGTCCTAGGTCAACTTGGTAACCCTTGTTGCTATTATCAATTCCACTGAATGCATGGGACTCAATTTTTTTTTTTTTTTGTTATGACTGCAAGAAGTATTTGGAGTTTTTGCTGGCATTTTGATGTATTTATGCACTTACAGACTGTTGAACTAGGATGATGCAAACACAATGCTTTATGTAATCAGCTGTAATTTGTACTGTTTATTCATATGGAGGAATGCTTCAACTTGTATGTTGAGATATCTTAGATCATTAGGATAAGTTAACCTCCTAAGAGGCATATTAGGATATCCTTAAAATTAAATGGGTGGGTAAGTTTATCGTACAGTCTTAATACTCCCTTTCTCAAATGAGTATCATGTTCTGTCTATGCAGTAATGCTCTGGGCAAACAAATAGTAAAGTTACACATCATGTGAGAAGTCTTGCTTTACAGATAAGGTAGCAGAATTAAGAAAAATGTAGCAATTTCAGAAGTGCTTTGAATAGCAAAGGCAGTGCTTTCCAGATTAGCATTGTATAGCCCACTTACATGGTAGGGAGAGAAGAGTTAGATGTCAGATGAAAGTAAGCTACCTAAACAAGAAAGCAAATCAAAGATAGGAAATTTACATTCAAAGAGCTCTGTGTCCCAGGCAGGTTAGACAGTGTTACATTTGCATTTTTACTGACATAAAAAACTTGTATACAAGATTACTGAATTCAGTAGTAGAAAAAAGGAACTTCATTCTTCTCTTCTAGAATCTGCTTTTGATGTAGTATCAAGTATACTGCAGGATTGCAAACAGATTGCCTCTGTAAAAATCTGAACTGACCTAATTAAAAATGCTGAAGACTGTTTTTCTCCCTTCTTTACAGGTACTTTTAGTTCTGTTTACTTGGCCACAGCACAACTACAAACAGGACGTGAGGAAAAAATGGCTCTGAAACACTTGATTCCAACCAGCCACCCTCTGAGAATCGCAGCTGAACTTCAGTGCCTCACAGTAGCAGGGTACACATACAAAAAATTATGATTGTCATGAGCAAACTGCAGAACACTGTCTCACTCTTCTGTATTTATTTAAAGTTTTGCCACTTCACTTGTTTGTTTTTTTTTTTTTTTTTAACTGCAGAAATGTATATTCTTCTTATCAAGAGCAAATAAGAAATAAGAGTGTCTTACCTGCAATGGATGCCCTTTTCTGCTAGGCTTAGTTTGTGGCTGATGCTGTATTTTCCATTTGAGAAGTTCTGTGATGTATCTCTGATAGAGAGATAGTTCTGAAATGCTTGGAAAAAACAATCTCTTCATCAGAAAATGGGATTTTATGAATGACTACTTGTTGCCAGAATGTGCTAAATAGCACCTACTTAAAGTAGCTGGTATCATGAAGGTTAGGTCCTACATTTAATTAGAGCGTCACCACAAACCATGGCCCCATCTGTGGGGCCCTCTTTGCAAATTGCAGAACTCAAATGGAACATAGCAATGAGAGGCAACAGCATGGTTCCTGACTGCTGGTAAGACTACTGTCAAAATATAAATGAGATCGTAAAAGAAAGCATGACTGAAGTTTTTAAGAAAGGAAAATAAACATCCATCTTCTGGTCTTTATTCAGTGACATTACTTTTCTTTTAGGGGACAGGATAACGTTATGGGAGTTAAATACTGCTTTAGGAAAAATGATCATGTGGTTATTGTTATGCCATATCTAGAACATGAATCCTTCTTGGTGAGTCCCAGAGTTTTTATGTGTAGTAGAACTTTTTAATTAAAAGCAATTGGATAATTACAATATCCAAATAATCTTTCAGGATATTTTGAATTCTCTGTCCTTTGAAGAAGTGAGGGAATACATGTTCAATCTGTTTAAAGCGTTGAGGCGCATTCATCACTTCGGTATTGTTCACCGTGACGTCAAGCCCAGTAACTTCCTCTACAACAGGCAGCTAAAAGAGTAAGTCTGTCCAGATGACTATATTGTGATCTCATTTGGGGATGTGTGCCTTGGCAGAACAGAGTCAATTAGGCTTTTGGGATTTTTTTTCCTTCCAGCTGCATAACGTGTGCTTTAGTAATAAAGCTAATTTTTTTTTTTTTATTTGTGAAACTTTTATTTCTGTGTTTAGGGATTTGAGGAGGGAAGGAATTTTTTTTCATGCTTAATGTAATATCAGCTTCATAGAGAGAAAAGTACCTGAAAAAATGAAGATTTTACTATTGATTAAAAGTACTACATTTTTGAATGAGAAGAATAAAATCAGTATATTTTTTTTAACAAGAAAGCTAATACTACCTTGTGATGCATTGACTGATATTTGTAAATTTTTTAAATTTGCTCTTGGATAGAGTAAAACTGATACAGATATGACAGCTGGATTTGGGCTGTTGTCACCTTACATTGAATTATTGTTTATTACTACTAGGATTGGGTTTTGTGCCTGCAACTTATGATATTTAAAGACTGTAAAAAGTGAGGTACTGCTTTTTTTGTGAAGAGCTGAAATGGATAGAATAAGGTACTGTTTCAATGCTAGCAGTCCTGTAGTGTCTTGGTGAGTATTGTGCTATGTACAATTCAGACGTTGAGGTGCTGGAGTGTGCCCAAAGGACAACAGAGCTGGTGCAGGGTCTAGAGCACAAGTATTATGAGGAGTGGCTGAGAGAACTGGGGTAATTTAGTCTGGAGAAAAGGAGGCTCAGGGGAGACCTTATTGCTCCCTACAACTGAAAGGAGATTGTAGCAAGGTGGGTGTCTGTCTCTTTTCCCAGATAACAAGTGATAGGATGAGAGGAAATGGCCTCAAGTTGTGCCAGAGGAGGCTCAGATTGGATATTAGGAAAAGTTCACTGAAAGGGTTATCAAGCATTGGAACAGGCTGCCCAGGGAAGTGGTGGAATCACCATCCCTGGAAGTATTTAGAAGACGTGTAGATGTGGCAGTTAGTGATGGACTTGGCAGTGTTGGGTTAATGGTTGGACTCGATGATCTTAAAGGCCTTTTCCAACCTAAATGATTCTATGTAGTGAAAGTTTGTAGGGGAGATTTGATTATATTTTGCCAAACCACAAGCTTAAAAATTTGAGAAATACTGATTTTTTTTTTTTTTTTTTTTTTTTTTAATCTGTCAAAATGAATTTGTCCTGTCGTTTTGCTCTTCCAGCATCTGTTTGAGCCTTTAATTTCTGCTTTGGGTGCGGACACCATGGAGCCAAGTTTGTCAGACCCAGAGACAGCTGGATTGTCTCTGTCCTGGTTGTAGCAAAAAATAATTATTTCAAAAACAGATCTGAAGTGTGAACTGTTTGAAATAAATTCCAGTAGCATTGCTTGAAGTCTGGCAAAACTTTGAGCATTATCTTGTCTGTCCTCACTGCTACATTTGTGCCTCTGACCATGAGAATCCTGCAGGGCTCAAGTCACTTGTCCTTGACTGTTGGCTGAAGGTTTGGAGCTGTAGGACTAGAAGAACCCGTGAAAGATGTTGCTGGGAATGTTTTTTTTAACACCATTGGAGAAAGTATGCACTTGAGAAGATTTTGGGAGAAGAAACAATGAAGCAAGATGGGTATACGGTAAAAAAATTGGGTGAATAGGTAAGATAGGACTGAGGAGGAGGAGGAAAATAGGACTGTGATGCTGGCACCAGTACAGATAAGCAAGATATTGAGTAAAATATGAAAGAAAGATAAGTAAACAAGTAAGGTATAGTAAATTGAACTGATTGATGGATACGTTGTGACTCCTGATTCTAAATGTGTGTCTTTCAGGTATGCCTTGGTAGATTTTGGTTTGGCACAAGGAACCCCCGATACGAAAATTGAGCTTCTCAAAACTGCTCACTCTGAAGACCAGCAGGGAAGTTGCTCGCAAAATAATCCCACCGTAGCCTTGGGAAGTGGGGTTTCTGTCAGTGTCACAGCACCTAAACAGATAGCTCAACCATCAGCCTCACAAGCAGCTGATAAAAGGTCCAGCTCACTTTCAAAAATACAGATTAAACAAGGAAGAGGAGGAAAGGTTCTCAGTCTTTTTCATTAATATTTTTGTCTGTTTAATGTGTTACTTCTTCCAACAGGGGGAGATGTAATACCTGAACAAAAGCTGTGGGTTGCGTATTTGTCAGGGTCCTAATGGCATGCACAGAATCACAGTGGTCGTGTTAGAGTGGCCAGTTTTACATAGCCCTGTTGGCATCATTCACTATCTGTTAGACATAATACAATGCCCAAGGCTGTACAAAACCCTAGCACGGGTTACTATTGAGACAGCCTTAAATGTTCTTTTAAGTGACATGTACTGTGGAACTCCTCCCCATGGCAATAATTATTCATCTATGTTTAGTTACATAGTTACATAACAAACGCAGTACCTATGACATTCAGATTGTTTTGGGGTACTTCTGAGGTGTGATTTGTTTTGCAAGCATGTCTGCTGTTCTGTCTAGACCATGTTTTCTTCATCCACAGTAAACTGATGCCTGAAAAGGACTTACCGTGGAGCTGTTCTTGTTTTATGTCACTTCACACTTTTTTTTTTTTGAGCTGTCAGTATCCAGCTGACTGTGTGTTAGATAGGATCCTTATTGTCCTTTTTGTTGGTATTGTAGGATTCTGTGCACCATTCTGTCCAGCGCTCTGTCTTTGGAGAGAGGAATTTCAATGTCTATAGTTCCACATACCAGGAGAACTCAAGTACAAAAGTAAGAAGTATGACTCATCAGTAAGAACAATCTGTTACATATTTGAAAAATTATAGAACTGGTTGTTCTGTAAGACTGGACACTACTCCAAGATGCTGTGGAACTAAAAGGTTTTGAGCAGATTATTAAATGTGCCTTTGCTGAAAGGCTCGAAGCATTTTTCATTTTTGTTTCAGTCCCTTTTGAGCCTCTTAAAGAGCTAGTTATGTAGCTGTCTCCCTAGCTGATGTTGTTTCTATGCTAAATTAATCTTTTTTCCTACACTTGTACCTGTGCAACTAAGATATACTTAGCTCGTGAAACTTCATGCTTTTTTAAATTTTGCAGTTGAAGCTGGAGAGAAAATTTGTAATAAATATTTTTCTGTACTTTTTGTAATTAGTATTTTATATGATATGGGGGAAAGCCCAATTAGAGGGTTTGGCCAACAGTGATCATCTTAGTCTAGAATTAGAGTTAGTGCTTGGGTGTTGCTGTGGCTTTAATATTTCATATGTTCTTGAAACATTATATTAACTTGAAAAATACTTGTGTTGTAGCTTCAGAATATCTAGTGTATATTGTTTTTTAGTAAATGCTGAAAAATGTTTTCCAAAGAGGAAGCAGAGGAAATCAGGATATTCAGAAAGCTCCAGTGTCTGTTTTACAGATGTTGTGATATTGTTGAAAAGTTTTGCTGTCTTCTGTTCTAAAATTGCAGCTTCTTGCTCGTGAGTACCTGTTCAGTCTTAGTATTTTAGGAACTGGCCTATGTGTATGTAAAGGGAACCTTCTTAAATGTGTCACCTTCTCTAAAATATCTACATTGCAGCTCATAAAACAATCAAAGATGATAGATGTTTCATCTAGGAAGTTAGTAACAAAGAAGAAGATTATTTCTACCAAAACAGTGAGCAATGGGGCATCCAGGAAAGCTGCCAGTGGTTGTCTCTCAAGCTTGACCTGTGGCTGTTACGCAACGGATAGAGTTTGCAGTGTTTGCCTTTCAAGGTAATTTGCTTTGATAAAGTTGTAAAATTGTCTGCTTCACTGTCAAGCAATGTCAGAAACTTAGATTTACTAGATAGCTGATTTAGTAGGTGAAAGATAGCATTTGATCTGTGCAACCCTTAAAACACTGAGTATGCTCTTTTTAAACAAGAATAGTTCATGGAATTCATACAATAATTGGTTCACTGCTATCTGCAATCAAGAGAGATTTACCATTAATGATTTTTTTGTTGTATTTAATTATCCACCTACACATTTTTGTAGAAAATTGCTTGAGTTAATTACAAAGCTGAGAGAAGACAATACATCCATCTGTCATTAGTAGTGATCTAATAGGCCTGTGTCACGCCAACAGTTTGGATTCTGGAAATTTTTAAAAAAAAGGAAACATTACTGTTTTGTATTTGTTGGTTTTAAAAATAGTGTTGTAAGTTTTAATAATAGGTTAGAGGATCTTGACTCAGTTCAACTCCATCCCTCTGCAGTTAGTTTTGGTTATGATCTACTATTGCCTTTGATCCATACATTAAGGAACATGGATTAATGCAGAGAATTCTGCTTGCTAGGCCTAGTCGTGAAACTGAGTGATCCCTCTCTTCCCAGACTGTCAAAGTGTGGTGATATCAACTTCATTTCAGAAGTATGAAATATGAGGAATTTTCCAGATTCAAAAGAGAAGTGGCCCATAGAAGGAAAGCACTTTGAGCCATACAGGAAAGCCTTGGAAAGTTTTGGGGTTTTGTTTTGTTTTGTTTAAATAATGGTAATCTCATACCTTTTAGTTAATCTAATGAAAGCCAGAGCATCCACATTGAAGAAAGTAGTGCATTTTTTTACCTTGGGTTAGTCTCAACTTTAAAGTTTCCTATGAAACTTTAGCAAATATGATGCTGCTGTTGAATGAAACTAAAACAGGTCACTATGCATGAAGTATGTAATAAGTATTTCTGTGGTATTACCTTGTGCTAGATAATATAATAAAAATATGATAATATAGTAGATAATATAAGAAGGCTATCTTATGCAACATAATAATTTCATGCTAGATAATTATAAGATACTTCAGACTTCTATAAAACAGACTTCTATAAAATGAGGCAGGGTTAGGCTGTTTACACATCTTAAACAAGCATACTCTAAAAATAATATTAAGCATTATTATAATTAGAACTTATTTACCAACTTCTATATTCTCAACATGTTTGTCTGTTATTACAAGGTGTCAGCAGGTTGCTCCCAGGGCAGGAACACCTGGATTCAGAGCACCAGAAGTATTAACGAAGTGCCCCACTCAGACCACAGGTACTGCACAACAGACTGAAACTAGTGCCTAAGTTAGGAATATTTTTCCTGTGCTGGAAACTCAAATATGTCTGTATTCATTTGAGGGGTAGTGGCATATGCAGAAGTTAAACAGAATGTGTTTTTAAAAGAAAACAAAGTTGTAACTTTTATAAAGTTTTTGGCTTTTTGCCTTATTTATTCAAGTAAAATCTTGAAAAGTCTTGGGGAGAAGACATACTTTAGGCTTTTCTAGACAGATTGTCACATATAGTTTGCTGTCATAGCAGGCATAGTTAATGGTATAATTGCAAATGTATTTTAGAAAGCATTGGTTGATACTTCTTATCGGATTTTTTATTTTTTGATAGAGCTTTAAATAGCTGGTCTGTAAATGTAATAACTTTTTCTTACTAAATTGTTAATTTCTCAGGGTTAAAAACTATCAAATTAGTAAATTTCAGTAGTCTGGCTAAATATTAGGGCAGAGCAGAGGGATGGTTAAGCTGATGCAAGTAGAATGGGAGAGGTTGTGCCTACCTGGAGAATGGAGGACCAATAAAAGTGAAGTTACATGTTAAACATTTGGTGTATGACCAGGAGTTCTGACTTATGAAAAATGGGGATAAATACAAATGTCCTCAAAAATTGATTTAAAATAGCACACTTTTTTTCTGAATACCTTTTGAGAAAATTGTCAATTTCCAGTACTTAAAGTGTGCACACTCAGAACAGACTTAACAATATATTTGATGAGTTATCGCTAGATAGCTTAATGTTATTTGAAACAACATCTGTGCTGAGGGTATGACTGGGATTTCAAGAGGTATGGCAGCCTGTTTGGACTTACTGTGCCTGTGCTGTAACAGCCAGCTTTACGGGCTAGAAGACATCCAGAAATCCACAAGAAGTTTAGACAATCTCTGAATCTGTCTAGACAGAATTTAGGCAGAAAGAAGACATAGCTAGGAAATCTTGGACACTAGCTGGTGTTAAATATGCTTTCAGACGGTTTTCTGTTCTCTAGGGTAATGGAGAGCAGGATTACAGAACATATGGGTAAATCTGGAAACCCTTGGGTGTGGCACAGACAACCTTAAAAGTACTGAGTCAGTGATGCTGAGCTCCTGTAGGATGTCAACAAAGGCCTTAATTAGAACTGGGTAGACTAATACTAATATTTATGAGATTATGTTGTATTTGAACTAACAAATCATCTTGTCCACTTCCATCTGGGACTGCTGTAGTCACCTCCTTGTATTCCTGCCAATCTTACTACTAGTTCTGGTCTCTGTCCTGAGACCAAGTTACCAGCTGGATCCAGCTGACTCCATTCAGAGCCACCTTAGTGCATCTGACCCAGGTTCACAGCACAGGGAATACACCCTCAGCTGCCGTGGTGACATTATACAGATCCAGTTACACTTTAACTTGGTTAGTGCCTCTTCTCCCTTTTCCTTGGTCTGCCTCACTAGTTGGATAACACTAGACAAAGGCACCAAGAGGAACCATGATTTTGATGCAAGTGCACAGGACCTTGCAGTCTGCTGACGATCCCAGCTCTACCAGAATTGTAGGGCCAGGATTTACAGCCATTCGGATATATAATGTCTACTAATTTCAACAAGAGTTAAGTAAGTAAACATCTTTAAAGGTCCTGACCTTGATGACTCCAGCTTTCCCAACCACATACTTGGGGTGATACACTCCACATCAGATAGTATGACCTTTCAACAGGAATGTAGTAACACAAAAACTTTTTTACAGGAACTACAAAGAAGATACAAAATTTTCCCACTGTAAATTGTGACAAATTATTAACTTGGATTTTATTTTTTTTTAATAAAAGACAAAGTCTGGTTTTGCAACTAAAGTTAATGTAATATTCTTTTTTCCAAAGTCCTGTACTAATAGTGTTTCTAACTATAATGTCCAAATTAATTATTACCTATTTTACTACTTATTTTTTTGAAGAGAATAACTATGGCTTTATTTCCCAACTATTAATTTTTCTCTTCAGAGTTTGAGAATCCTTCAAATGCTGTCCTTGCCATTTTCACTTTCCTTGCCATCTCTCAAAATGTGCACCTTAGTGAGCCAAAAAACTGTGGCAGACAGGTATTCTCATAACTTTCAGTACTAAAGTTTCCATCATGCTCTGGCGTCTATCCCCAGAGTACTCTCTGTACTCTTCATAACACAATGAAAGTGATGAATAACTTCAAACTATTACAGTTCTTAAACTGGCTAGCTTGTCAAATGGTTTCATATTAGAGAGGAACAAATTCATAGTAAGATAAATTTTTAGTACTGCCTAACTGTGGCAGCCTCAGTCTCAGAAATATTCAGATTCACATTCATTTGTGAATTATTTTTTATTTATTATCTTTGTATAAAGTTTTCTTCATATGAAGCAAACATATATAAGTATCAAAACTAGACAGTTTTTCACCGCCTCTCATCTCCCTGGGTAAAATAACCTCAAACATTGTTTTGGTACATTTTAAGTTTAATAAGTTAATGGAATTACTCATATGAAGAATTCTATGGAAAAGCTTAAACACTCCCTCTGCATCAACACAGGAAATTATTCTTCAATCTAATTATAGTAATTTCCACTGTTTGCTGAAGTGTTATCTGTGTGACCAAAGACAGTAAGTAATTCAGGATTTAACTTCTGATAGAAACACTTCAGGTAATAATTTCTTTTTAAAGAAAGTTGTGATTTTGTTTGTGATTAAATTGTGAATTTAGTTATTACTCAGTTTATTTTCAATTGCAGCAATTGACATGTGGTCTGCAGGAATTGTATTCCTCTCCTTGCTCAGTGGACGGTATCCATTTTACAAAGCAAGTGATGATTTAACTGCTTTGGCACAAATCATGACAGTTCGTGGATCCAGAGAAACCATTCAGGCTGCTAAAACTTTTGGTATGCAAACCTTCAGTATGGGGAAAAGGGGAAAATGTATGCTTGGTCTGCTATTTAATGCAGTGACTTGCAATCTGTGATTTTTTTTTTTTTAATATATATATAAAAATACATTTTTAGGTTTGGGAGTCATTTTTGAGATAAATCACACTTTTTGCATGTAAAACACTAGAAGTACTAGTCTATATATACACAGAGTTTTAAGAAAGCTTTGTATTTTTCTATCTTTTGTAATTTGTATATGGGGTACTTCATTCCATATGCTTCCCAACCTGTCTACTGCCTTTCACTAAGTCAGGGCCACTTGAGGTGAAATATGCCAACTGAATGTTTTCTACTGGCATTTGGTTAAAATCCTTGGAGCGATGTTTTTATTCCTCCAAAATTCGCCCTGGAGGCTTAAGTCATTATGACTTAATATTTAGATGATATAAATTTTGCTTTTTTCCCACCCCTCAAGAAGGGCTAGTAAAAAAAAAAAAACAACAACAAAAAAAAAACCCTAGATGGCCTGCTTAAAAAAACAAAACCACCACAAAACACCCAAAAAATGAAAATAACCATTCCCCTAATTGTTTGCAAGCCAAATGCTGCAGCACTTGCTACCTGGAAGTGTAACTGACAGCATCAATTTTAATTCTCCAGACAGAAGTGTAAAAATCGGGGTATCTAATTTTCTTCAGTTCTGTTAAAATGACAGCAAAATGACAGCTGATGTGTGGGGAGGGTGACAACCTGTTACTACATCACTTCACAAACAAACCCAAAGAGCTTTGTTCTGAGCAGATCTGAGACTACTCTCCTGACGTGCTATGGCTAGTGCTGTAACCCATGGCTGGTTTGGAAGAGGGAGGGAGGGGGTGAATTTGTTTTTTTGATAGGTTGGTGTTGTTTTTTTTTAAATGGTGGTTACACTTCAAGATGAAGTTTCTCTGAAACAAACTTAGTAGTTACAGTTGCATAGAAAGTATAATAAAATTTAACTGACTGTAAATTATTTTTCTAGGTAAATCAGTTCTGTGCACCCAAGTTGTCCCAGCACAAAACTTAAGAACCCTCTGTGAGAAGCTGAGAGGAACAAGTAGCAGCTGTAAGAGATCCCAGGGTGAAGTGCCCAGCAAGTCTGTACATGACTCAGCTTTGCCAGTTGCAGTAGACAAGCTATGTGCTCCCGAGACACTTGGAAAACAAATTCAACACTTAAAGAGCTCTCAGGAAGGTGATGGTGCTTTGGAAATGAAGGTAACAGACATGAAAGGATGGGATCAGGTTCCTGATGAAGCATATGACCTACTTGATAAGCTACTAGACTTAAACCCTGCAACAAGAATAACTGCAAAAGAGGCTTTGCTGCATCCTTTTTTTAAAGACCTGAGACTCTGAGAAGATACCATACGCTATTATTGCTTCCATGTGTTTTACATGAACATGAGATACTGAGGTAGTTTGCCTTGTTGCCCTCAACACGTACACTCACTGAAATACCATGACACTGAGCACAGAACTGCTGAAATTTTGCCTTATGCAGTTGGACTGCAAATGTAAGTTTACCTTTAGTACTTACAGATGTAAAAATTACATTAAAATTACATTCATCACTAACATTGTCTTATCCTAAGACACTTCTGAGGGGTTATTGCTGTGCATACCTGTTCTCTGAGAAAGTTAACTTTGATCAAAAAGTACAAAGGAGAAGAATTTCATGTTTCACAAGCTCTATGCTTAATTCTTGAGATGTTCCCTTAAAATTTACAAATTTGCCTTAAGGTACAACTGAAATAAGAAAGTGCTTGAAAGACTTTTTTCCATACTTGCATCTCTCCGCTTTGTTCCTCATTAGTACATTAGGGACTGAAAATGGAACAAAGTGTGTTAATTTTGTTCAGACTATTTTCAGAGAGCAGTGTTACTTTGGGAGTGTTGATAGAGGAGGGGCCAGGTGCTGGGGGTTATATCATCAAAAGAAAAGCATAAATACATTTTTGTTCCTGCCTGGCCTTTCCTATTTAGGCAACAGTAATAAATGCAGTTACTCATTTTGCTTAGCCCGTGCTTCCTCAGCGCCATGAGTAACTGTCAATATTCAACAACTACTGCCTTCAGAATGTTTCGTTTGACATGCATAGGTTTGATTTCTGTTATGGAAAATGATTTTTTAAAGAATATCTGTTAAATAAAGGATTTGTTTTTATAACTTCAGAAGATTGTCTAGAGATGCTTTGATAAAAATTAGCCAGGTAACATTTTCCTGTGGGATGTTTCTGTTCAGGAAGAATTAAGCACAGTTGTTTCCTGCATATATTCCTCAGTGATAGAAAACACTTTTCAGATAGCTCTAGTGTATACAACTGTCATAGTGGAAGTATCTTAATTATCAAGGAAGTCTTACCACTGAGTTAGAAGCTAGCTATTGTCTGGTCCTAAGTAGGAATAGCAACCTTAATAACCTCTAACCCCATACATTCAATGTGCAAAGTAAGTTACATTATGTTCAGCAGAAGTTACTCTAAAACCCATTATAATTCTGGAGACTGAAACTTAATACAGTGTTTTTCCATGTGCATTTCTTGAAATGCTAATGGAATTGTTGCTATAAGAGGTTGCAAACCATTCTGAGAAAAGATTGCTGCTTTGATAACTTTTGTATAAGCCTTCTCGTAGGAGCTGGTGGTTGTGATAGTGCAAAGGTCCTGACCAGGGCTGGGGCTGAAAAAACATTATTTCGATATATTCAAAATCTTGAATACATAGAAAGTAATGGTAATGTTGCTCTGTTTCTGGCATCAGCTGTTACAGAAAAATATTTGCAGATGTCAGAATATTGATTGCAGAAAATCTTGAAACCCACAAGACCCTGGGGCCCAGGTCTTAGTAATTTTTGCTGTTTATATAATTTCAACACAGCACGTCACTGAGAAATTATTTATCTAAAGGAACTGTGGCCAAATTTGGCAAGCAATGCTGTCTGCCAGTGTCTGCAGATGTATTGTTTCCTCCTACTTCACTCATGCTGTCTGTGGTCTTATGAGAGCACTAGCTGACAACAAGCAAAAATATGTCAACTATCTATTGTGAACTTTCTAAATGACTTCAGCTTTTTAAGCTTTCTGGGTAACCACAGCATTGAGCAGCTCCTTGCAGCAGGCATTACAACAACTAACCACTGCATAAGTTTAATAGCAAAAAAGGGAAAATTATTCATAATGGTGTTTTTACAAAAACATTAAGGGTAAATAAAATTCTGTAAGGAACAATTCTAAGCTCAGTATATTCCATAACAACCTAGAAGAACACTTGATATTCCTCCTTCCAGATAGCTATTTATTTTAAACCTTGAAAATTTTTTTCTGGGAAAGGATAATGTGAAAAGAAAAATGCCTTTGAACGAGCATATGCTTACGAAGTACTTTTTGTAGGACTACAAAAGAATTAGAAAAGAATAAAAATGCCAGAAGTAAAATGTTAAATGCAAGGCATTACAAATGAAGAGAAAAAAAAAAAAGAAAAAAGAAAAAAAAAGAAAAAAAAAGAAAATTAAGGAAAACAGCAAGAAAAACCTGGTTGCCACTGAGTTTTCTGCTTTTCTCTCCTGTAGTCCTAAGAATCTCTCAAAGCCATAGGTAAGAGCCAAGTACCAAGATTCTGTTAACGTTTAATTACATGATTTGAGATGTTTATAAACTGAATGAAACTCCACACAGAAATGACATTACTGCAACACATGTTCAGCAGTCGTGAGGCCACAGCTGGCCACAGTTCTGGACACCATGCTAGGACAAGGCTATTAATAAATTGGAAAGAAACCAAGAACAGCAGCAAAAAGCAGCATGGACTTGTAAAGATGAAGAGAAACTAATACCTAGAATCCTGAGAACAGAATGCTGGGAGCAAATCTAAATGCATCTGTGTATCTAGCATAGGGAAGACTAGTTTATTCTTGATACTAAACCAGGCTAGGTGAGGAAATTGTGGCATGTGTTAAGTTTATGGTGTTTTTCCTAGTTGTAAATGATAATTATGAAACGGGAGAGCATCTTATTAAGAGTGCCTGAGGAAACACCTGCAAAACAGCAACAAAGTTTTTCTGCATAATACTGATAATAAGGGATAAATTCTAAATTCTTTTAGGTGGTAGTCCTATCACTTTTGAGATTGGACTCAGTGAAGCATGGATAAGAAAATAAACAAGACATCAATATTCTGTCTGAGAATATTCAATATCCTGCTTATTTTATGTATTTGCCATATCTAGAGTTTACATATTCTTCACTCTCCAGCAATGAAAAACAATGTGGAACCAATATACAGCCAAGAGTTCCTGTGCCTTTTGCACCTCAGAATCCTTGAGTGTCCTCTTGAGGTCACCAGGTGTGATGGGATCCCAAAGTGTTTCTGTAACTGCCCACTGTCCAGCCAGGTTGCTATGGTCAGGATCTGTGTTGGACCTTAAGGCAGAACATGAAGGAGACTTTCATTCCAAAGTGCCTCTGACACGGGTAATCCAGCAATCAGTGCTTTGCGGTTTTGCAGGAATAAAACACACATTGAACTCACAATGGGCTTCTAATCTGTTCTGGCTACAGTCAAACGTCTTATTTTGGATATGACTGCTGAGGAAAAAAATATCTCCTTTACAAAGATGATTTATTTTCCTAGCATCTTTCAGACCATTACGTTCTACTAGTCAGCAAAATACAAAAAAATAAAAAGTCTTTAGAGCTCGCCTCAAATATTTGTTGGTTATGAAAAGGTATGTTCCTCTTCTGAACTAGAGGACATAATTAAAAGAAGGTGTTTGGATTTAGCAGGGCAGTTTTCCTACCTCCTGGAGGCAGAGCGCACAAGACAACAGAAATAAAAGTTTTTTCCCATTTGTTCAATTTGTCACATTTCAAAGACACATCAGCTATGGGAAGAAAATGACTAACTATTGAAGGCACTTAGTAGAACAACAGCATTTTAAAGGAAATTAATACTTAATAGCTTCATGAATTCCCGTGCTATAATGAAACAATATACCTCAGTTGGTAGGCAAGGACAATTCTGAGACATTATTCAAGCAATGTTCTTAATGCAGCATAGTTGTAAATGGGGTTTGGGGTTTTTTTCTTGTATGTTTGGTTTTTTTAAAGCATATAGTGAATTTTGCTACTAATGTAGCAACATTATGTTCACTTAAAATTCCTCTTGTACCTTTTCCAGAAAACAGAACATGCAGCGGGTCAGTGGCAGTACATATGTGGTTCATACTGCTTTCTGCTGCTGGGTTCCTGGCTGGCCAGTTCAAGGGGTAGTAAATATTTAAATTGGCAGCCTGCACACAGTGAGTGGAAATTGGATAGTCCCTTTGATTATACGCTTACAAAGGCCAGCATATAGAGTTTTGTTACTCTGGCAACAAAGAATTTCTGGTACCATGGAGGTGAGGGTCCAGTAGATTGGGTATTTTACATCAGGGAGGTACAGCATAACCCAGATAACCAGGGTTAAGGGTTTTTAAATGTGCCTCATATATGTAATGCTGCCTCTCCATGACTCAGCCTTTTTTATTTTCATATCTTTTTACTCTGCAAGAATATTATCCCCATACAATGCTTTATTGTATCATGTTAAAAACTAACCACTATAAGCATTCCTGAGTATCCCCAGAGTATTGTTTATTCTATTTCTGGAAAGACTTAAATCCTTCTGTTGGGATATGACAGGGAAGAGGGTGGTTTTGTTGCATAAAGTTCTTTCATGGTTTTCAGAAGAGTCAGATTTTACTCTAAGCCCTAATTATACCTTTGTTTAAAAATACTGGTGCCAAGAAGTGTTTTACTTAAGGTATCCATTCAATCCATTTCTCGTAGATGGCATACATGAACTACTTGCAACAAATAATGCATAATTAGTTTTACTTCTTAATGTGAAGAGATAGGGATGTAGCCTAACAATTGGAATATTTGAAACAAATTAACTTTTTATGATGAAGGGTTATATAATTTGGTATAAAGAATGCCACAGGTCATGTCTAGCAGGAGGCAGCACATTGATAAAATCTCTCTTGTATTTTCCATTCCTGTTTCCTCTCACCACCTCTCCCAAAAAGCATCAGATTTTTGCACTCTGTGTTGCTGTAAGGTATTTGTCTTTAATGATTCTTTTGCTTCTTTGAATATTACTTTGTGTTGTGTGCAAACCACCAATTATTTACAATTGTCCTGTGAGTCCTCTCCCCAGTCCTGCTTCGGTTCTGCTGTCTATTTGCTTGTTTCAAAGTTCTCCATCTCCCTATCAAAACCCCTCACTTGGACTTGGCAGTGCAGGTAAGAAATTCTAGAGTTCTCTGTAGCGTTTCATTTTTCTTGTCCGTAGACTTGTTTTATCTGATCTGGGAACAC